TTGTAAATCGTTGGAAACACATCGTTAAATATTATGCCCTCTATAACTCGACCTCAGCAGGCGGGTAAGCACAAAACCAGGTCCGACCGAGTTTGAACTCTGCAGGGTGAGAAACTTCATAAAATGAAATGGACGTTGCTGCTAAGCGAGCATTGACTCTCGATGGCCTGACCTCCATCTTTGAGCTTCCTACCTGCTCTCTTTTGAAAAACAGGTACTGTAGCCCTTCACTAATTCAATTCGTTGCCTTCTTTCGATGTCTATCTGGATCAGACCAGTCCTTGCAAAGCTATCTCTCCTCTGTACAGCGATTCAGCGTCTACAGTTCATTAAGTGCATCCGAATCCAGCTTCCTTAGCCCAGAATGACGATATTGGTTTTTTGAGAAAATCTATCTCAAACCTCAAATGTTGTTCAGCTTTTTGCAACTTTTCGATTCTCTGTGACGGAGGTGGACGTAACGATTCGGAACGGGTCATGCCGCTCAGCGCTGTTGCAATTTAGCGGCCGATGCTCAAACAGAACCCCCGGCTAATGGCTTTGAATCATCGCTGAACGCCGGCCAGGCTGCAGTCGTGACGAGCCGTAGCACTGTTTGCTTTTTTAATTCATGCGTTCGCCGAGACTAATGAATGTGACATTGAGACACGGTCCGAAGACGAAAATCCCCCGGCGAATGCAAGGGCGAGACAGACTGGAGGAAGGAGTTCTCCGTTGCGGACAGATCAGATTACCCCTGATGCTTTTCCTTTGGGTTGAAGCAAGCGTGCAACTATGCTATGTAAACATCAAAGTGCATACAGAAGGTAGTGAATTTTGAAAGAAAAATCAACATCATGCCAAATACATAAAAGCCAATGAAAGAAGTCCAAAAAGATAGTGTTTAGACCATTTGTACCACCCAACTGGCAAAATCAACTCCGAAAGGGGTACCCACGTCACAGGCTCGGAAACCAAGGCTTTTCTGGAGCCTTCTTCATGGTAGGACTGACCAGGCTTCTGAAGAGCTTGGTTCTGAGCCATGGAATAGTCTTTACCATGGTCACCGAAAGGACAAGATCACGCCAGTACACTGGGCCACCATGACTTCTCGCTCCTTTCCCCACTAGGTGGTCGGGAAAGTTAGTCTGAATGACTCATGACGATGGCCTTATCACCACATAACTGTTATCAACGAAAAAATGGCCTATTGGGCACTGATATGGGGCATTTACGAGGTTCGTTGTCGGCATCGTTTACGTATCGTTTGCCAGGCGCAGGCATCAAACCTGAACTCTGCCCCATAGATAACGGAGTTCTAAGCGAAGATAAAATCAATACGCACCATTTTTGTGTGTCTACCTGCCCGGCCGTATTGTTGACCCAACCGAGAACGTCACAACAATAGATGCCCTGGGTCTTTTCATATGTGGCATAGGATCCCTGAGCGTTCCATGCTGACTTTCCTTGGGGCGATTATTCAGTCGCCCAAGACCAAACTGTAAACTTTACTATAGTTTGAACGATTATAGTGTGGGAACAATGTCGGCTGACGGACGATTCATCCATCGTCCAGCCATCGGAAATGCCGTCGCTCGGCGCTCGACCGCTACTGCTACATTATGTTCTGTTTGAAGCACTTCACATTTCTATCAGCCTCTTCATGACGCAAACCCCCAGCGGAGGCTTATGCAGCGGGCTGCCTATACTGGAAAGTATGCATACCAGCCGGGCTACCCAGAAAAAGTAAAGTCGTCAGAATGTTACTTATTCACTTTCCATCTACTTAATTACTCCTTTATCATTGCTGACATTCTTGAACAAGAAGAATAAACATAAAGATAAATAGATCATAAAATAAGATAAGACGATGGCGAAAAGAAAAGAAAATAAAAGAAAAAGAAAAATAATCGACGAAGGCTACTAACGATCACGCCATCCTTACAATTGGCTTCGTAGTAACGCTACCTACTTGCTTACTGCTTATTTACTTTGCGCACATTGTTTACTCACACATAATTCATTAGCTTATCAACTGCTTCCTAAATGGGAAAACCGTCAAAGAAAAAGCTAAAAACGAAAGTGACGTCATAAAGAAAGTCTTGGAGCCATCACAGTTCACTTTAGGGATGAACTGTTTACTGATCACTTCACTTATAATGAAAAAAAATAAACAAAGGAATAAAACACCCGAGAGATGAACTTCTGTCAAACGAAAGAAGCATGATTCTTGAGGAAGTGAATTGAAAAATTTCAAAAACTCAATAACCAAAGCATGAAAAATTGAGATCAGATGGGAGGAATTTTTGAACTCACCAATGTTTCGCCGTTTCTTTGTTCGACCTTACATGAGTCTTCGCTCGTTGGTTTTACACGAACACATGCAAAGTGCTGTCGAGTTCCCACCCGCACCAAAGCACATGCACCGACCTGAACGTGATGATTGCAAAGTCATGTAGGAAAGGTAACTCTTCTCGAAACCCAATGATAGACCGGATTCAGGATTCTTCAACATTGTTATCAACCTCAGGTCAGTTAAGGGCAAAACTTCGACCTTGGGGACGGGACTGTGAGGGACAAGGAGCACGGACCCCCGATAACACACGTACGTGTTCCCTTTCCAGGCCAAAATTTTGCTCATAACTCGCCAATCCTGTAAGACGCACTGCTGTTAATAGCAGCAGTCAACAAAAACAACAAGTCAGATCAAATTAAATTCATTACTTTTCATTACTTCATTGATCGTAATAATTCATTACTTTTATTGTTATCTTTACTGTTATTACTTGAAAACCTAGAAAGCAGTGATTCAGGAACAGCTTTTTAGTTAGTACACATATTTTTCTTACCGATGGGGAAGTACAGCCAGATTGCTGAGAGGCTTTCGTGAGATATTCTAACAGAACCTCCATCGGGCTTCTACTCTTTCCTATATGATTGCCGGGACTTCGAAAGTGGCTGTTCACTGGCTTATTGCGAAATTACATTCCCATTACAGAAGTATGAACAGGGCCAAGTACAGTGGTGTGCTCTGCCCACAGTTGTTGGAAGCACTCTCGTTCCTAGCTGAGACTATTTGTGGCCTAATATAACCTACGTAGAAAGCTTCAACATTTTTCAAAGATGGAAAGTATTTGACGAAGATGAAGCCCTGTGGTGAGGCCTCAAAAGCTACCCTTTCCGAATGACTGCTGCTCAGTAGTTTGCTAATTAGAGCTGTGGCTCTCTTCTTCAATGTTAAACACCCCCTTTGGGCATTCGAGCTTCGAGCTCGCTTCCATAGGTTATAAGAAACGAATAAAGGATTTATTGTACATATAATGAAGTCATTTGGTCAGGCCTTTGCGTCGTAATATAAAGTATAAATAAATATGTAAGTCGGTCCCAATGAGGAATCACTAGAGCGGCCGACGTAATTCGTGGCCGTCAATTCCACATTTGTTGTTGTAGGAATGCCCACGTATCCCACGCTTTATAGGCTCTACAGTACAATGTCGATGGGCACGTTCTCAACACACTCGGTAGCCTCCCGACTTTACAAACATTCGGCTGACAGGAAGAATACACTGAGAATAAGCCCTGATAAATAGTTCCGTGCAGTACAGACGCCGACCTACCTTTCCACCAAAGTCCTGCACATCACACCAGCCATTGTAGCATCGTACACCGCCAGCTTCGGAAGAGCACTGACACCTGAACGATCTCGGTTTCAACTAGTATAAGCTCGTGTAAATATTAGAAACTGAAAGGCTGTATTATAGTAAATATAGTAAAGTAAACAAAATAAATAAAATAGAAAATATATTTCTGTTTCTGGCTTTATTTTCAAACTTGTGCATGTTGTTGTGTATTTGTTTACTACCGTGGATTGATGCTGACTACAAGGAAAGCAGTACAGAGATGTGTTCATTTGTATTGGATGTCGTGGTAATACAGAATAGGTATAAACTCAATAAATATGAATTATATAATTACAAGGTTACTGAAGCCCTTCAGTAGGCGGAAAAAAGGTTAGAATGCGAGTAAGTATGAATGTGAGTTAGAAAGCATTTTAATAAGAAAAAAAGAAAGAATGTAAGCAAAGGAAAGAGCGGTTAGGTCACCCTCAAAGAAGAAGAAAAGAAAGAGTTGGATTGTTTATCATGTTTTTCGGCATTGGAGTCCGTATTCATGCGAGGTTGATCTTACATAAAGCAAGATGCTTATCAAAACGTAACATCAAAATCAGACAATAGATTTGCTACGAAAGAAGAGAAAAGGATTTGTCTGAGAAAATGTAAGAAAGCTGGTGTAAAAGCGTAGAGAAAAAATGAAAAAATAAAAAAGAAATTTCGCACAAAAATAGTATTTTGGAAACCCCTATGGTGAACCCCTATGGTGAACGATAACCTCTCAAAAGTACGAATTTCCTTTAATTGAAACCATTATGTCAGGGGCGACTGCGTGAAAAGGTTTCCACTTGCTTCCCCTTAAAGCTAAGAGAAAACAAGGAGAGCAAAGGTCAGGCTTATTGATTCTTCAGACGAAAAATCGACAAAACAGTGAAGTGCAAAGAGTCATGCTCAACTGCAATGGCTTCGACGGGAAGCACAACTACCATTGCATAATCCATTGCAAAGGGAGAAGCAGTTGCGAGAAGTATTTTTTGGCCCTCCATCCTCCTGTTTTCCTCCTCTCAGAAAAAAAACAAAAAAGAACCTGCGAAGTCTGAGGTTTTCGACAGCCATTGGCATTGGTGCTTGCGATTTGACGTTAACTTTTCTCATAACCTTGACCTCAGGCAGCAGTTTAGAGGCACCTTGTCAGATTCCTCGAGAACGCGAAAAAAACCAGTTTGGAGGTTTCGTTTTCTTCAGGTGGTCTGTGGCTTTATGACCGCTTATCGTTTTTCACACATCGAGGTGTTCGCGCTGATGTGGCAACATTAACAGATATGATAACAGGAGCGCACCCAGAGACAGAGAACATGGCGGTTGTTGAATGATGAGTTTCCCGTTCTCTACTACCGCAACTGGCTTGTCCATTGTCATAGAAGACAAACATAACGATTCAAATCACTTTCAAAACAATTGTATGTAGACGAGCAAATTCAAAGAATCGGGCCCAATCTGTAGCTCTTTTTTTCAAAACATTTATTACTTTTTGAAGAGAAAGGGTTATAAACTGTGACATTAAATTTTTTGGCAGTCGTAGTGAAGATTCACAGTTTTACGACTTTGTCCAGTGGAACGGACCCGAACAACGGAAAATCAGTGAGCATAGATTGTGCCGGAAAAGGAAGCGGAGTGCTTAAACTTCTAGAGCATCGTTACACAAGATCGAATCTTCCCTAAGATAACTTTCCATTTCATTCCTTCAAAAGCTTAATGTAGTGTGTGTCTTAACCTCTCACAACGTTTTTTGTTGAAACTTTATCGGCTATTTTTTAGCGATATCGCCTTTTTCAGAGCCTGAAAATGATCAAAAGCAGTTTGTGGATATCCGATCAAACGTCTCCACAACCCTACTGAAGGCGATATAGTCGAAACGTTAGCTAATAAAGTTTGATAGAAAAAGCTCGTGACAGTCACAAACTATATCGAGTCATGCCGAGGTTCATTGAACATGGGGACTACTTTGAAAGCTGTCCGTTACTAAAGAGCTCGATCAAGAATACGTCCAATTCTGCCTTCTGCGATGCATAGGTCACCCTAGAGCTCGGTGTATTTTTACAGTTTTAAATAAAGCATTGCCTAGCCGACTTAGAGCTTTTAGGCAGCTTTCCGGACCAATCCTGATGGAAATACGCAAACTGCACACAAGTGCGAGGAATTCAAAAAATCCGGCGCTGACCCTTGGTCAGTGGGCAAAAAAATCTTGCCAATTCTCTCGGGCCGCCCACCAGCAGCACATTACATCCCAGATTTCAATGAACGAACAGCAAAACGAAAACATGCAAATGCTTGTGCCCAGTAAATCAATTCCTATGCAAAGTAACAAGTAGATAAATTATTGGTAGAATTTCAAAAGAACCCTATGAAGTAGCTTGTACTGACTGACCTTAATGAGTGTGCGGTCCCCATAAGGGCCACAAAAATTAAGGCCTTAAGGCTCATCACGCTGATGGCAAGTATTCGATAGCTATCGATCACGACAGTAGATCAGGACCGACACGATGAAGCTGTGAAATATGTGTGCAACATTTAAGTGACAGCCGACAACGAGAAGCGACGCCGAGTGGGCGTGGCCTTAGTCAAACGTATGCCCCGCCCCCTGGGTGATGACACAACAAATGCAGACGCGTGGGAAAAGGCGAACGGTCGGTCGGTCGGTCGGTTTTGAACGGTACAAGTAAGATAGCACGGAATGGGAGCAACGGAATGGGAAAGCATTCAGGCGGTTAAGCCAACGGTATTCAAAGCTATGACGGGTTTTCAGATGGTAGGGTTACGGTGCACAGTCAGGGGTAGCCGGTTGAGCCGGTTTGACTTGCTCCTTTCTCAGGTTTCTGTTTTCCCACTCAGGCTCACTATAGGCTCAATATCTGCAAAGGTGCTCGAAACCAAACATTTCTTCCTCCTTACAGCTGAAAAGTAATAAGGTCCAAATCAAAACTTCTCAGTTGTAGTGGAATTCCTTTCTGGCCGAAACTGTATGGGCAAGTGCATGAACATTCGGAGAAGCACTTACGTCATTAGCCGACTGGTGCCCTTCTTATCGCAGAACCATTTTTCATCAATTAAATGATAACCTCTCGAGAGCTAATAAAAACTTTTTGCAGTGCCTTAAAGAGGATCTAAGGAATCGAGTCATGGCATATAACTCCAGGACAGTCTTACTTCAGCTATATCATCGTAAAATGGTCATACTTAAGATCTAACATCTTCAAATAAACTCAAGAAAAGAAGATAATGTGTTTTCTGACCTTTGAGGGGCTTTATACTAAACATCTACAGTTATAAGGTGAATCAGCTAAGACGGCTTGGGCCACATGCCCCAGTTCAGACTTTGAAATGGTGTGTTGACAAATAGCGATGCTTTGGCACCTCATAAAGATCAAAGTTTGGGGAATCTGCTTAAGTTTACCAAATATGTTTACCAAGTCTGATGTCCATCGTCCATCCACGCAAACTAGTAAAACATTTATGTGGGAGAACGTCTAGCCTGTGCGTTGACTGCCTCTCAAATCGTAGGATTAAATGGCTTTATTTTTCGATAATAGATGAAGATGAAGTACATGGCGTATCTCAGCAGGGAGTAATAATGGCGAGCGGATGCCTTCGAGCCCAAAATGAGTATATAAAAACTGAAATCTGCCAGCGTAAAACTTTTACAAATCTATCACCTGGTAGGTAATCAAGCGCCCGATTGGGTACTGACCACTAAAATGGAACTTCAGGTAGTTTTTGGCGAAATGCTTTAGCATAGTACTTGTTTCGAACCCTTCTCTATCAGCTGTTCACCATTTTGTGGTTTTGCAAACCAGTATATCGCTGTGGTATAACATCAGTTTTTCGAAAGATGATCGTTCTCGAGAGAAACTTGCGAGAAATCGAATACTGGTATGACTCTGAGCAAGCTGATCATACAGCTCATCCTGATTAATGGTTAATCAGTGCTGATTCCCTGACTCCTTCGATCCTTATAATCAATCCTGTCGCATCATTTCAATAGTTAGAGAGGAAAATATGAATCTGGGCGGTTTCCCAAACTTCCCACGCACTTTCGGGAGCTTCTCTTTCGAGAGTTTTCCATGTGTGCTAGGGAAGAAACGGCCAGTTTCTGTTGAAAATCAGTTTGTTATTTTTACCACCTAGTAACTGATGCTTTTGATAAATGAGATCGGGCTAAGTACTATTAGTTTAGGCGATCCCATTCGCCGTGAGCGTTGCACAAGAGATCGTCAATCACTCCACCAGCCGATTGTGACTGCCAGCTGCCACTATTAGTTGTGATGGGAGTTTTTCATTAAATGAATTATAAGTGTTTTCAAATAATGGAATTCCCCGACTGCCGAAATCTCTCGAAAAATCTCAAAATTATCTGGCGGAACCGTGACTTCCAGAAATGCTTCGGGAAAAATGACGGGACCACTGTGTAAGAGTTACCCAGGGATGCTCCAAGTCTGTCCTCCGTTGCTTGAGTTCACTTTCATCCCGTTGACAGTATGATGGTNCTTGTAGAGCGATCATAAACTAGCCAGATAGCATCTGTCGACACGATGTCCCGCAGGTGGCCAACGGTTTTTCCTCATCGCCGAAAAATTTTTCGCGCGCCTTCACTGAATTTCCTTTTCCGCAGACCGGCTAAGAACGATTCCGATGATCGAATCGTGCTGGCCATAGAGAAGGCACCAAAAGCGGCGCATTCTTTGCAGAAAAGAAGTGTAGGTTCCAGCTGTACGGTCGACTTGCATACAGGCTTCGTCGTTGATCTTCGTATGTCCCCTGCTTACTGATCATGCGCCATCAATGTGTATTCTGTGGAGAAATAAACAAAAAATGAGTAAACATCTACAATTTCTTGCCTAATCTTGCGAAATTGCTTGAAGCGACAAATTTCTTCAGAATGACCTTATGCATATCCTCCTGGTATGGTGAAGTTGGGTTGACCCAGGTCGAGCACTTCGGTAGAAACCCTGATTATAGGCATAGTTCAGAGGTGAGAAAGGGTCATTCCAACGCTAAAAGGTGTCTTTCTACTCGAATTTTTTCCATTTACTGAATCCTTTTTAGTTTACTCCCATGACAAATTATCGATTTAGGTTGGTGTCAGAGATGCTTCTTTATCTATCCTCAGCAGATGCGATTACTGAGAATCAGACACCTACACACAGCTATTCAGACACTTTTCGATCATTTTGAGTAAAATGGTTGTAGTGAGGCTGAAGGTCAGAGTTAGTGCTCCCCTGAAAATTCAGTCCCTGAAAATGGTGGAGTGCAGTGCCACCACTGACTCTGACCAATTCAGCTGCCCGTCTCCAATATCCTATCACTTCCTTTTGATGTCCAAATTCTTTGGTTACTTCAACTTTGCCAGATCTGAGAACCCCCTTTAGCTTTTTTCATTCTTTCCTCTCTTCTTGAAAATTTTCAAAAAATTACTGGTATTCATGCAGTAAGCAGAAACATATGATATAAATAAAACTGATCGGCGGGTGATAGAGTATCGTGGGAAAGTGTAATTCGAACCGATCGGCGACACCTTTGCAGTTTGAAAAAGCATCTTGCCATTAGATCAATTCCGTATTCATAATCCGAAATATTTTATCTGCCCATTACACTTGCCCAGCAAGCACTCTGTGGGCTGACAAACTCATATCACCGAGACTCTGGGATTTTTCTTGAAACACTTTTTAACCAGCAACTGCTTCCCAGATGACACAACAACCGTTCAGATTTCTTCGTTTTGGAGAAAATGTTGAAGAAAAATTCGTCCAATTGTTCAATCGTCTACAAATCGCAACATTCTTGACATGAGAGTAGCGGCTAGAAGTTTGAGAAGTGATTGACAGTTGGCTGATAAAGGAGGTGTTAGTCTGTAAGACGTTTACAATCACTCATAAATCATTCCTTCAGTTTTTTTTTNTTTTTTTTTACTTTGACTGGCTACTTTTTCTAAAGATTTCTAGAGAAATCACCTGATAATGGCACTGTGTAATTATTGTATGCAGATGGTATCCATTAACTAACAGAGATCGCTACGCTATGATACTGCTCTCTAGCATTCATAAAAAAATTTGAAAAAAAAATTGTAAATTTCTTGTTGCCAGTTAAAAATGAGATCCACTGAAGTTGTCTGAGGGGACGCTGAAGCGAGTTCATTCTTCCCTGAGGCACTTGTTGATCGGCCCCTCAGATTTGACCGAACTAAAGTGAAATTGCTGAAAAAAGGTCGATAGGTTTGCAAATCACGGTACAGAATCTTCAGTTATTGATGTTTATATGCATTCAACAATAAACAGCGCCTGCATAGCGCTATTTTGAGAACAGCTCAAACTAATCCTCAATTATAAGCTATTTAATTGGGAATAAGCGGTCATATTGCGAAGATTTACATTTATTGTGTTTAGGCAGAGGCAGCGACAAGTAGCGCACTACCACAGGTGCATAATCCAGTGTTCGAATCCCAGATCGGTATCCGCCTAAGCTATCAAGTCTTCCATCCTTCGGGGGTTGGATATTTGGTACCAGACTCGTCTGGGAGGATAAAAGCACTGACTTGAACATCGAGCTCGCCACCGTTCAGAATGAAAGTCGAATACGCGCATCCCATAAATGATTTTGGTTAGCTCTGTAGACCATGTCCTTTGTCTATACAACAATATTTACCAATTTTCAGACAGACTTCGAAATCGTGCTGTGCATATTTTGGGGTGCCATCCATGGGATCCATCCAAAGTCACCACACAAAACAGTCAAACAGTCGCGGAGTACCTTTGAACCGCCTTGCATTACAAGCTATAGAAATACCCACTGACAATCTCAATGGTGCCATGCTTGGTGTTCCAGTCTATGATAATTTTAAACCAATTTTGAAAATGTTCACCTAGACCAATAGTCACCGTTCCTCTCTTGACCAAAATTTCAGTGCTAACTGAACCCTGGATGGATTCCATTATTAGAATATCATTCTCTTTTATTCTATGAAAAAGGCTCAAAAATTCCACATAATGCTTACTTACCTATTTCAGGTCATGGCGCCCAGGCTGAGGAGTTTCCCTTACGTGCAAATTCCATTAGTATAGTTCCTTTCCATTTTGAGAACGATCGTTTGCTAGGGTAAGAGGGTATGAGCCCGTACGAGTACTAACGCCATCCCAGGTCTCGGGCTGCAGCTTTGGTAACCCATGAATGCCGGTCGATCTAATTGAAGCTCAGCATCTATTAGAATATTGAATACTATTGGAATACATATTTTAAAAAAATTAGGTGCAGCATAAATGTGACGCATAGGAAAGAATGGCAGTATGTACCATAGCAGTATTTCTAAACTGTGCTATAGCATTTAGGCGAAAATTCCTGCTCTTGGAATACTAAAAGTCTGCTTTTCGTTGGCCGTTTCAGTAACTTTCCGAAACGTAAAATGTACATAGCCGATGAGTCAGAAATAGCGATGACCACCGAATTTCTCATGTCAACATCCCTCGAAAAGCTCACTACGAAAAGCATTTTACACAACAAAATTTGTACGTCGTTGAATTATAATACATCTTCAATTAGATGTTACGAATTGTTAGATTTATGCAGAGTACTTGCTTTTTCCCTTCAGGACCAGCGCCTCAACTCGTTCTGTCATATTTAATGACATGTCCAATATTTGTTCATTATTGTTATTGTTCATGTTTTATTTCTGTTCATTTCAAATATTTATTAACGCTTATTTTTCAAACATTTGAACAGACAGTTAGATGTGTTTGTTTACAGTTCTGAACAAACAACATAAACACACAAACAGCATCATAACAAACAAGGACAGAAACTGGAGCGGCTTTAGAAGAGGAGTGAAAATATTCCTGACCTATTCGAAAAGGAGCCCTGGCAAGTTTCATGTCACCTCCCATTTCCATTTTCCATATACTTGTGATGAAGCATCCTCACAAGTAGAAGTTCAATAGAAGAGTTTTTTTCGTATCTCATTAAAAATGTTTTGCTGATTGAAATGTCAAACCGAATCGCGGTCATTTAGCACATAAAAGTAAGAAAAGAGTTTGAAAAGTACCAATAACGTCCATACTCAACAACTGCAAAGTTATTCAAAGTCAACGTTTCGCATGAATCACGTTTGGATTCATTGTTTTCAGAATATANTATAAATGTGTGGAGTGTGGTGCAGTAGGTTCGAAACCGTCGCGTCGCTGCGAGAAAGACGCCGCGCGCGAAGGAATTTGGAAGAATACAGCGGCAAGTAATAAATACAGGAACAAAAGAACTAACATTAGAATCACGCCAAAAATAATACTCGCATATCGAATAAGCTGTCTGAAGAACGCTAGAACTGTAATAACGAGGTGATTGGTCCGCGACTGCCGCGCGCGGCGAATCGATTACACAAGACCGATACTACTGCCCGTCTCCCTAAATGTGTGGCAGTGATAATCACTGCGTCTAATGGTAAGAGGTTCGCGGGCAGCACTTCGGCTAATTGTACGTTAGATTGTTTGATGCGAAAGATTGATACATAACAACATATTTTACAACATACTGACTTACTCTATGGTTTCACTTCCTCTGAAAGAGGACCACGAAGCTTTCAATAATGGTTAAAACATTAGATTTTTTAGCGTTGAACAACCCCTTTTTTTGAGTTGTATCTCCACAATCGATTTCAACCAAAAAATCGTAGCCTCATTTTGAGCGATGATTTGGTCTACGGAATAAACTGCGGCGGAAAGCTGAAGTACAAGTCAATGCTTCTATCATTCCAGTCGAATCTGAAACCAGTTAGCCGATCCAGAGGAGCATAAGCTCAATTGACCTTTGCAGATGCCGAGCCGGTATACGATCCCGGGACCATGCATGTGGATAGCGCGCCATTACTACACTAGACTAGACCTAGACTTTTCATTTATGAGTGCACTGGGCCATTAATATCTGAGGAATGCTCAAAGCACCAACACCTTTTCAGCAGTCTCCCAGGCAATTCCAAAGAGTGGACAGGAGTTTCAGAGAAGTTTCCCCCACCAGCTTGCAAACTGTCTCAACAAATCCATTTTTAGATGTTTATATCGCTTCATTAACAACAAAAACAAGTGACAATAACAACGCAGTAGACCTGCAAAAGAAAACAACAACTTTGAATCGTCTAATACCTTCAATGGACAATCTACAAAACAACTTCAACCACCGTATCACGAATAAAAACACTTCAGAGATCATTATTTTTCAGTCGAATCTGTGCCGACTACCTGCTGGGTGGTAGCAACAATGATCGGATTAATGATGATAGGCGTCTCGGGATCGGACTCGTCCGTCAAGGTCTCGAGCGGGAGAGCTAGGGTCACGGTAGTTGGATCACGTACAAATGGTGGAGCATACATTATCGCCTTTGGCGACAACCATGAGATAGACATACCCCAAGCGCTGAAAGAAAAGAATGTTTTACCCATTAATTAACAATTCCGCTAGAGATTGTGTTCGGAACAGCTTCATTTCCGTTAAAGCTCCCAGGAGAGCAATTCTTCGGAGGCCTCGAAGTCAGCCAATGAAGATGTTACGTTATCATCTGAGAGCACACTCAAAAACCAGGTTAGGTTAAAATCAGGTCGAAATTAAGGGAGAGTTAATCGTGGACTACGTCGTCGTTCTCGAGCAACTGCGACAACTGTATATAAGACGATTTTCACCATGGAATAGATAAAAANAAAAACGATCATTCTGGAAAAAGTCAAGCCTTGAGGTGTCCGCTAGATATTCGAGAATATTTCTGAAGATCTTATCAAATTATCATCTGTTAGCTCTTTTGTATACAAACATTATAACAAACTATAGCCAGTTTACCGGCAACTCTGGAAAACTTAGGCTATTGCTGCGAAATGTAATGGCTTCCAGTGATAATACCTAACCATACGCCAGGATTTGATTCTCCTTGTCCAGAGGAAAGCTCACAAAACCGATGTTCGCGTTTCATTTTAATGGTTCGCATTGCATATTGACGCGGTGGGATACAAACACCTGATCGCTGAATGTATATGTATGGGACCAGGTCATGCCCGTTGGCCTATATTCGCGCGCGACGACCGTTATGGCGCTACCTGATGCATTTACAGATTCCTTCATATAATTTGATACTATCTTACTAAATTCACATCCATCGGCAATTCATTCCCCATAAAAAAGACCTTATACTGGCTTTGTTACTGCTACTGTTAACTTTGGAATATTGAAAACTCTAATACACAGCAGGCAATTCGATGACTTAAAGCATAGCAGGAAAAAAGGACGGAGGGATCAGTCGATTCCTTTATTACCCTAAATGCATGCCAACCAAGCATTCTATCCCTCCGGGGTCGATTAATTGGTACACAAGACTTGTGTGGGAGGATAAAAGCACTGACTTGTACATCGGCTGGCCACCTTAAGTCATTGTAAAGGCCACATACGCACTCATTACGCCACTAAGATTCTGAATGGAAGTCGAGTGTGGTGGCGCATCCCTTAGACGGGATTGATTAACGCCACGAACTTATCTTTTTTATCCTTTATTGCATCCCATTTCTAATTGGACCGTAGACGTCCAAATGGGTGTTTCATTCTACAGCTATTCCATCACTGAGCCAAAAACTCTGTTGACCTGGTTACCATTCAGAGATTTCAGATTTTTTCAGAGATAACGGTGGCAGCACCTTCCATTGTTGACAGATCAGAATATTTGAGTAGCTCAAAATGATAACGAGCCTTGAGCCCCAGACGTTTTTACTTTGCGGTAAAAAAATGTAAACTGATTCCTATCGCTGCAATGAACGTGCAATCTACAGAAACACGTGTGATTTCGGCAGAAAATCATGAAAATGTCTTTCATCAAACATTACTGCGAACGAAAGAATACAAACATACAGTGTTGACGATGTCGAAAACATTTGACGGCGAACAACGATAAGCTAATATGTTATGATGTTCCCACAAATCAATTCCCGATTCTATTTGGGAAAAAAATTAAGAAAATCACCCGTCAGAATTACTGTTGTCAACTTGAAAAACTCGCTTGCTTATTTCACTCAGCTGCTACCTGGTTTCAATTCATAGGTCTCCTCATGTGAGATTGATTAATGATATCGGAAGGGGATATAAATCACAAACTCATAAATCTGACGCTCCCAGTAACTATGAGAAGGTCAAGCTTTCAATCAGAAAGCAGGTGGGACCGGAAGGAAATGTTGGTGCAGATTCCACCCTGTTCAGTCTACATTCAAAAATATCCAAATAATGTAAAGGTATTTTTGTAAAGCATACTCAACAATGTAATACTAACAAAACATCAGGTCAGTGTAATACTAGATTTAAAAAAATCTTTTTCTTCAAAGTTTTCTTGAGAAATCATTGTTTCTAAAATTCTCTAGAAATAATCTAAACCAGGGATAGAAGATTAAATCTTGTTCCGACCATCTGAATACTCAGTGACGAGATCTCTCAACAGATTCTCAGCAACTCACGATGGAATCATCGAGTAGTACCAAATGTGTTCGTCGTGTAGTATGTAGTGGAGTTCAAGGGACGGTATATTCTCTTGGCTCTTTTTTATCGTCTCGAATCGAGTTCAATATGATGATTATCAAATTTGACAGCACAACGCTTTTCTTGTACTGATTCAGCTGATTTCGACCCATATTCACCACCTATTCTTATCAAAAAATGATTGATATCAATTATTATAGGAACTGACCAATGAGTAGCACAATCAGTCAAGGATTACCTACACCCGTCTCACACTAAATCTGGTTCAACCGATTGGAGAATTTATTCACTCTATTGGGAAACAAAACACTAGAACAAGACCCTTTGTATTGGAGTAAATTTGTTACTAGATTGATTAAAAGTAGTATGGATGAATTTAGGACAAAGGGGTGATGTCTAGGAATTACACCTGGCAATCAGAAAATGCCTAAGAATAAATCGCGCCTGCAGGCAAAGTGTCGTGAGCTTAGATGAATTCTCAGTCCTACATAGAAAGACCCCATCAAACAGGGTACCCTGGCTAACCTAATAATCCATCTCCAAAGCAGGTGAAATGGCACAGAAAACCTAAAAAAAAATGTATTTGTTAACGTTGGATGTGACCTATAACTTCTATACCCCGTAGGCCGAAAATTATAGGTCGCAATCAACTGTTCCCGAGATTCTGAAATAAATGGGAATGAAGAACTCCTAGAAAGTGGTGCGCTTGAGAAGGACAGAAACGTGGCCAGGTACCTTATCGGAAATCCCAAAATATCCTATTCGTCAGTTAATTTTTTTGCGATTGTCCGATTTTGTATGGAACGAGATTTCTTTTTGCTTATTGCAAGATCTAAATCAAATTTTCAAATGATTCACTATTTTCTTGATACCGTATACCATGACTTACTGATTACGAAAAGTAGGGTGGTCCAGCAGGAAATGATTAGGCATGAATCATAAGCCACAACATGTGTTTTCTTGGTGCTGTTATAATTTTATGAAGATTTGTTGCGTGAATCATCATGCAGTAATCTTTCCCTCCACATAAACAGTTTCGAAAGAATCATACGGGCATAGTTTAAAAGAAGACCAGTCAGATGAGTTATCAAAGGCATCGATCTTTCGATCAACTCGAAAGTAAGAAATTGACAAAAAAATTTAATGATTTCAATATCGAATCCAATCACTTCCCAGTCTCAGGAAGTTTTCTTTTCCGAAGAGTAATTGAAAAATTTCTCGTCTAATGTATTTCCTTCTTACGGTGAGAGTTCATCGATGTGTCTGATACTTCAAGTTCTAAACTGAAAACTCGTAGAGATCCTTGCCGAATTAGGATGATTTTACTCAAGTAATGATCAGGAAAATCAACTATAGCTCAGAAAATGTGAGCTAAGATGATGAGCATCCACTGGTGGGGTGATATTCATATCCCAATCCTACTACTCAGATTAAGCTGGATAACACAACGGGTAATGGGTCAAGTAGCCCAATTTGTGCTGAGGACTTCTTTACAAAAATGAAACTCTCGATAGGAACGTTACCGGTTTCACATAGCGCTAGAAACTAATTACCTAACCCGATACCGGAAATTGAGAATAGAAAATCTGTCTATAAAACACCTGCCTGACTAGTCACCAACACATTTTGGATGACTTTCTCTTTTTTCCTTCTAAGAGTTGCTTTCTGATGACGTCACCAGGTTTTAGAACATTCTCAATTATAGCCACTGAGGAAATTCGATTCGGAGACTATAACTGGTAAACTTTGTTACACCATCGTGCTGACAACGCCACGCAACTCCTACGATTGGGGCATCCGCGTTCACTCTACCGTTAAAGGATAGAAGGATAAACTCTTTAATCGATCACATCTAAGGGATGCGCCCCCGCACTCGACTTCCAGTTAGAATCGTTGTGGCGGATTGAGTGCATCTGTACATCATACAATGACGTAAGGTGGCCAGCCGATTTACAAGCCAGTGCTTTTATCCTCCCAGACGAGTATGGTATCAATTAACCGACCCCGGAGGGATTAAAGGGGCTGAACCCCTGACCGTGCGTCTGACATAGAGCGCCACTTGCCCCTACACCATCTCCCCCAACAATAATTCTGAATGGTAATGGTAATTGTAGGAATGATACCAGCGATGTTTCCTCCTCATAATCCTCCATATTGCTAGCTCATTAGTACACTTGACACGAACTACTACTTGACACACTTATCACACAGAAGCACTCACTGAATAAAAGCACTGGATTAAATGACCCCGGAGGGATGGAAGACTTGGTTGGCTCAGGCGAATATCGATCCGTAATCGATCCCGTGACCATGTATGGTAGTGCTCCACTTCCATCCACCCATCACTCTACTGTTATTGTTCAAACAATAATAGTGCAAACGGTGAAAAGCTTGTCAGCCATGTGACTGTCTCCGGTTTTAGGGGCCCGCTCTGAGGCTGGATATGCAATGTATGATGGTGATACTGGCAATGACGTTCTGCTTCTGAGATTCGAAAAAAAAGTTCTGTACTACAAAGTGCGTCCACCAGGACAAAAGAGACTATGCCAAAAAAGAAAACAAGACATTGACGATTTCCCTTGTAAGACATGAGGCGACTGCTTGCTCCCAATGCTTCTTGAAAATCCCAACTAGACTTCTGACATCCTAATTATTTGCAACGAATCGCGAGAAGTACTTTAAATTTGAACATCTGGGAATTCTAGACCTTCAAAGAGGGTTACTTTTCGTCGAGATGAAACGCAATCTTCCATCGATGTTTGCTAATAAATACGACTCGCTGCTCGACCGTCAATTGATTGATTGCTTACAAACATGCATTATTGTTTATCGGTCAAAAATAAATAATTCTCACCCAACATGTTCACATCTTTTCTTCACTGCAAGATCAACTTGTGTATCTAGAAAAAGTACAAAGAGGTGATGAGAGTGAAGCCAACTTA